GTAGGGCAAGGACCCAGTAAAACGCCCGCAAGATGTCGACATCGTACGGTGAAGAGAGCTCTGACGAAGATGGATGCGATGTGATGACGGGCGACACCCCACCTTCCTCGTCGAAGGCTTCTCACTTTGTTGGAGGATGATGAAGAATTTATGGGGTTTATGGCGCTCAAGACCGAGATATCGAACGAATCAGAGACACCACTTGCGGCTCCCGAAACCGACAGTAAGCTTCTCCAGCTCCCCACACCTCAACGCTGCAGCACCACCAACACCAGGTGCGCACTCGCTCGTAGGCATCGCCTATCTACATCGACCCAACATCGACCGCGAGCCTGCCCCGCTCGTCGCGGAGTTATACGCCGCGTACCTCTAGAAGGGTCGAAGTGAGCGTATGCACCAAGGGGCCGAGATAGACGGCCTACATACCTTCATTGGTGTTACTACCCGCATCCGCAGCACCACGGAACCCTCTGCTGAAAATCCTCTGACGTGGACGTACTGAGAAGAAAGAACGGAGTCTCAAGGTATGCGACGTGACCCAGCAAGACTCTCGACGGCGGTGGACAAGCTAGGGGTAGATGATATGAGCAGCGGGAACGCTTGAGGGAGCCGGCCAATGCTGGTAAATGACATCCTCCTTGCCGCTCGCAGCCGTCCTTCCCGATGAAGGCTGGGAGCTCTCCGCCCAGGAAACCCAAACCGAAGCACAGAGGACGGAAGGACTCGACAGTCCCATCGTCTGCCGTCATGGACCCACACATCCACTATTCTGATCAGCATTTCCCCTGCCCATTTCGACGGAGGGCTCCTCTACCCCCAGGCATCGCCCCTCCTCTCCCTCGACTAGCGAAACCGGGGATGGTATGAGGACCATGATCCAGCTGCGCAGACATCGGTATGCACTCCCAGTGCTGCGAGAAGGATGACCCTACCGACATCATTTGCAGACGTCGATCTCTCCCCCACCGCAGGCTGATAGTGCGACGTGCACAGTGGTGGTTCACGAAACATGCAAGACTCGCGTGGTGTCTTAACCGTGTGGATTGGGGATACCCGGATTACCGGTTGCTCGGTGGGCGAGATACACAGGGGATTCAGCATCCGCATAAATCTCAGCTCTTGCTTGCCTGGTCCAGACTTGAGGAAGCTATATTGATTGTCAATAAACGCGGTGAAAGCAGGAGTAGAAAGACTTACACGCAACACGGCCGGATGATCACTTTGAGGATCGTAGGTACCCATAGATAGTTACGCTGTTAAAGGGAAGAGTGGTCAGTCGGGATACGAAGCATGGGGGGAATAAGGAAGAAGAGAGAATAGAGCCGCATTCGTCGAACGATTTGCACGATGACGGGTCGTATGAACTCAAGAGGAAGGAAGTGTAGAGCTCACCATTACGCAGTGCTTCTCTCCCCAGGCTATTCGGTTATCGAATACCGTTTCTCGCATCGATCCTGCGGAGCGCTGGATCTCGAGTCCTTAATCACGAAACACCGGTGTCGGTGAATGTCGGAAAGCCAGGGCCGTGAGGGGTCGTGATGTCTCCAACGCTGGCCAGCGTGTTCTACTTGCCCACGTTTCCGGAAGGTACGAGTACCACCGCATCTACTGGCGGTGAGGTACTCTAGTCTCCAAAAAGAGTGAGTCAGAGAAGGCGCGGACGACAGAGGCAGATGACAGCGGTTGAAAAGAGAATGACGAGGGATATCGACTTCATATTCGTGGACACTAAGAAGACGAAGTATCGTGAAGAGAGACCCGAGAAACCGTATCGGGCAAAATATCGAAAAGAAAAAAATGGAATCTTCTTACCTGGACAGATCTCCCAGTAACGTAGCTTTATACTCGTGAATTTTGGGTCTAAGCCTACCGCAGCTTCGTGAGTAAATACTGAGAGTACGATGAAAAAAGTCCACGCACCATCGGCTTGACGATTTGGCTGAAAAACGCTGATCCTCGTCGACGAGCGGCGGCAAGGATGCTCGTAGTACTACACATGATGTAGCTCCCAGCGCCGCAGCTCCCTGGCAACAAGACTCCAGACTGAGGGCGTTGTATGATTACGACGACGAGTCCTTAAAAATTTTACTTAAGGCTCGATTGGCGGCTCATGTCGTCGAGATATCGCAATAATAGAGAAGTATAGAGAGTCCAGACATTCCAGAGCATCGAAATTGGTTCAGAGCGGGCCAACCACTTCAAAGCTCGAGCTCGTTGTGGTGGGCAGATGTGACAGCGTCACGGCTGTGTCACACCTTCTCAACTCGACCACCATCTTGTTTTTTTTGAACGCGAATCTTCAGGGTGATACCTTTCAAGCTGATTTGTTGAATACTGGTGGAAAGTTGGTTAGATGATACACATATCTCGGAACCCTTGCTTTACCGCCTTTTTCGATGCAAGTTTCAAACTCACTTCAGTTCTTCTGACTTCAGAACTTCTTCGCCAAATGGACTCGGACAATTTCAGTGCGGTGTAAATTGCTCTACGGTACTCTGGCTATTCTTTTTATTTGACTGGAGTCTCGTGTTTGCTCTTCACACCCTGCTTCCACTGGCGCTCCGCTTGAAAATCTGGACAACGTCAAGACGCCGAGTTGACCACTCAGGCTGGATTCCATTCGTGATTTAGGCTCTTCAATTGGGCGCCTTGCCTCCCTCGTTAAATTCACAACACATTACGCTTAGGCTCGACCTTCGAGTTTCTGGCCATTCAATCGCTTGTTTCATCGATAACGTCGTAGATCTGAATATCTATAATCTTCCCCAGGAAAACGTGTAAAGTGGGTGCTCGCTTGCTCATCGATAATATGCTGATGACCTCGAAGTAGAAATTTTCCTTTCAGAGGCCTAACGTACTACTCTTCTTCCCCCACAAATTTCAATTGAAGTTCAAGATTAGGGAGGTCCGAGTTAGATTCAAGGCGACAGTGTGCATCTCTGTGATTCTCTCCGTCGTACGGCGGAGCCTCGTTCCCTCTGCATGTCTGGGGCATTGTCTCGTTTACTGGATTTTCTGGATGGATTTCTCTCAGTCTTGCTGGGTCTCGTTTCTGCGCCTCAATTTTCAAACTCTTTAATCGATTGCGATCGGTTGTCTGTTGCTTCCCCGCACCGCACGCACTACACCTTCCGGTTCCGAACCCTCTTGACACGCCTGAGAAATGCGGGGTAATCAGTGCTTGGCGCCGCCCTTTCCTAAGTTTCCTTCACAGCAACTTCCGCCTCAAGGCTCCTGACTCCGAACATCACAACGAATTTGGAGTATGGGTGGTGCTCATGTAAACAGCCTTGCATCTAGCAGAACGCGCTGCCACGCACAATTCAAAACACTCCCATGACGCAGTACTAACCGATATCTGGGCTATCTCGACCTCAACAACGCTCCTCGAATCACATCCGACCCCTCCTTGCTTATCATACACGTTCGTATTCACCAATCGCACATTCCTCCCTTCTCTAAATCTTCCCTATCCTCCGATATCCTGCCTACGCTGCCGTCGCCGATACACACATATCTCCCACCACGACAGCTACCTCATTTCCCCGCTCTCCGAGAATACAGTGGTCGAACTCGAAGAACCGTCCCAAATATAGCCCTTCTTCCTCTATTCTCTGTCTCAATGACATCGGCGTATGTCTCCGTGTCTGCTTCTTCCTCGAGAAGCCTATCTGTCTCCCTCCAACCGCCTTAGCCGCTATACGACAGGCCACGCTGTTTCCTGCTGCTTTCTTTCAAGGGCGAAGGGTCATATCGCCATTCGCTGACGTCGTCTACGAGTCCTATTCAAAGGCGCGAAGGCACACAACGATACCGGCAACGCGCGAAATTAAAAGATAGAAGATGTGTAGGTCCATTGTCTGGGATCGGGAGACCGCATCGTATAGCTCAAAATCTAGACCTCGGCGTCGTGGAAATGTGCCGATAATGTCTATTGCCATTACAAGCAGCAAAGGGCTTCGGCTTCCGAGGGCGGCCCGCGCCGGGTGTCCCGCCAAGAGTTGTCGAGTTCGTTTGTCGGCGGCAATATTCGATCAGTTATTCGTGGGTGATTTTCTTTACTTCAGGAACTTCGGGCCGCCGGGATGTGTCAATAAGAACTGCTTTCAAACTCGTACAAGCTGGTAATTTGCTTTCAATCCACTCTGCTATCTAACCGAACCGTCGCAACAACTCCGAGAACACACTTTTAAAGAAATTCAATGTAAGTTATATTCAACTTGTCTGGACACAAATATCTCACTCGAACTCCTTACATAGTACCTCATACGCTCACGACAGACTAGACTACCGCCGGCCTTTCCAAGTACCCCAGAAGCCGAACACATCCAACGTTCCTCAAATACGATACTCTCACTCGCAGTAGTCAATGAAACTCGGCGTCGGTTCTTTGTCGGGTATATCCCACGAGAGTGAATGAGAGAATTCACTCTGTCTGTTACGGTTAGTGACTCCGAGTGCGAATGAAAGCAGGATATCTCATAAAATGAGAATGATGAGCGTCGCCGAGGCAGAGGAGAGGAATTTCTGCGGAACAGAGCAATAGAACAAAGTGGTCTGGTAGACCTAATGAATACGAAGGTGGTGCGACCTGGGATATTCTCATTCGAATGCATTGCAGGGATACTCCGATTCTCGCATCATTGAGATAGCAGCGAGTCGATCGTACTATGAATTTCGAGTCGTATAAAAAGAAAACTTACTACATACTTCCAGAGCATCCCAAAATAAGACGGGCTGTACGCCGGAATTCACTGCGAATGCGAGGTCAAACTGGTTAATTTGTACAATTTGCAGGATCCTTGCAGTTACCAAGAAGCAACTCTAGTCAAGATCATGATCGCATTCATTTCCCAACTGCGCGATTTGAGAAAACGGGAGCAATGAAGAAATTTCGACCTTAGTGGAATTGGATTCATGACTGCTGCTTGACGGCGGAGGAGGAATGGCAGAGGCAGACGACAAGGCGGATAGGTAGTCGGATGAGAATCAAACAAAAATGGACAAGCGGAGAATTGAACTCCGAACCTCCTGTAAACGTTCACGTTCCTAGAGGATGCGAAACAGGCGCGATAACCATTACACTACTTGCCCGTCATCGAACAGATTTTTTCACGCCTGCTGACGTTGCTGGCTGAAGCACCCTCCGATCGATATTGGTCGCCGCTCTCGGATCTCAATTCCCCTGATTGACAAGTGCTGCCGTATTCAGCTTTCTACTGGTATCCTCCCACTGCCAGTCCAACTTACCACCCACGACAAAGTCGCCGACTGTTCCCTTCGAAGAACTCCCTGACGCCGACTCGGGGCCATGTCAATGGGCCTCAAGGCTCAAGAGCTCACACCCAGATATACCCCTTGTACTTATTCCTGTCCCTCTTGATGTATTCGCCTTTATGCCATTCGCCACCGATTTGGACTCTTGCATTAAAATCTACGATTCTACCATTTCCCCAATGAATCCTTGGATCATATTTACACGCTGTCCTCTCGGTTTCGCGTTCACAGAACGGCTTTCAAATTCTCGTTGCTCTAGCTTGTGTTCATTCTTCTCTGGGGATCTACTCCCAGTGTGTTCCTCAGCTTCACTAATTCCTGGCATCAAAGCGAGTTATGATTTCGAGCTGCGCATCAAGCATCGCGAACGATTCACTCAGCTTTCGGTGTTTCTCAGCCGGATCGTTTCAGGACTCGCATCCTTCTGCGCTTTTGCCCCCTTTGTAGGTCTATCGTGCGCGCAATCACTCAGTGAGTGAATTCTTACTTCGTCGTTAGTTCTTAACTGTACGCGTGAAGGAATCGAAATTCGACTAAAGTCTGCGGCATGGTGGTTCCTCTGCTTTGTTGAAACGGCAAAGTTTGAAATTGTATGAGTATCATAATTTGCTGCTCAATGTCCTCACCGCACCTCTGACTATATTGCAGTCCGTGCATTTCCTTTGTCAACCGGTGCTTGCCTCACCATGAAGGTACCATGTTTATTCTGGTCATTCTCTCCTGGCTCGCAGCGGGGAATTGCTCGCACAACACAATCCTTTATTCAAGATAAACATGAGGAGCCAGAGTCTCAACTTTAGAATGGATAGTTCAGATGTCGGTCCCTCACCTTTCGAATTCTTATTCATTCGCTACTGAATATCGAAGAAGAAATGGAAGAGAAACCTCGACTCGGATGCTTCAAGTCCACGTAACGACGTTCCAGCCGTAGTGTTCGTCAACACTATTTTCTGCCGCTGCGCGCCTAAATTTCTGCCAAGCGTCAAAACGGCCCGGAAACGGCAGAAGCTCCGCACCTTCGAGGATTTGCGATGAGCACGCCATCGCAGCGGAGGCATATTTCGCTTGTCAATGTTCCTTGCTGTTCCTTGCGGATCAGGTGATTATTGCCCTCGGGTTGTCGGGACGATGACCGGCTACTTTGTTTTCTTTCTCTCGGTCTCCTTGTGATTTCTTACGTTTCGTACACGGTTTGAAGACCGACGCCGCCGCCGCCGTTGACAGCGCATCCAGCAGCGACGTCGACCTTGTGTCCCCTCTTTTCACTCTTCGAATGGACCCTTGCGGCTCTTCAGCTTCGGCTGCAGTCACTGCCATTGTCTTCGTTGGGGTTTGGGGAAGAAAGAAGCTTGGTGGCCAGCAAGTCCCGGTGGATAACCCATGGAGAAGAGTTGCTACTAGTGCATTCATTTTAGCGCAGACGCAGCGCATATATCAGCAATGTGATGGACGTTCCATGCGTGTGGATGTTGCGGTCCGGCGGCTTCGCGCCGAGGTGAATGTAGGTCCGTCCATGTTCATTGTTCAAGGCTTTCCTTGAATTCGTTATGTGCGAGTTGATGGCTTGCAGACTTCACTTTGTAGCTTTTTCTTTGAATCTTCGTCCTGAAGATACTTATGTGCACTACTAAGAGAGAAATGGCCAATGCGAATCTCAACGTTGGTCAAATTATCGGTCCGCAAAGCCCGACTTCAAATCTCCATCATCAACGCTAAGCGGTTTGATTTGACAGGGATCGAAATGCGCGGTTGTGGAGATGGTGAGTTGTCGCTCCGCCCCTCGCCTGCGCTCTGACTCTTCGATATCTAGCCGAGTGGCATCTAGCCGATGATGGCCGTGTGAGTCTGTTCGATTTACAGAGGAGAGTCGTGGTTTCGTTGGATTCTTGGTTCAAGGACGACATAATTTCAAGGGCAAGAAAACTAACCGGCGCAACGACCGAGTCTCTATGCTTGCTGCCGAATTTTTGCATTTCATTGCGTAAATTGGATCCACCATTCAGCACAATATCGCTGGCTTGTTCAAGTTACCGCGACGATACCTTCGCGGTCCCGAAAACTTTTTTTTTGACGCGTCTTTCGTTGACTGCGCGTACTCTGAGGACGTCGAAGCTTGCTGTTGGCCGTGAAAATATCATTGGTTCCTTTGCATTCAAGTTTCAAACGGAAATCAAGAGTCACTTTTAGCGACAAATCTGCTTCCGAATCGGTCAGTTTGTTTGTGCTGAGAGATACGGGGAATAATTCATGCTCACTGCGTGTAAAGGCTCCTAAGAAATATTTGAGAAGGGCAGTAACTTGTATTCAAGAGAACCTTCGGCTCAAGTTCGCTGTACCATGCGTTTCGTCGGCCTGAAAATTAGAAGCCGAGGTAAGCCTTTTGAATAAACACATGGAGAGACGACGGTTACACAACTCACCTTGCCGCTGGTAGAATTCGAAAGAATGCCGCCTGGGAGAGGAGCTCTACCCGCAGTACGAAAGAAAGAAAGCTGTTTTCTGCAGCACCACTGGCGATACTTACTTTCGTTTTTCGTCTTGCTCTTGAATTTTTGAATTCGAACGTTTTGAGGAAACGGCAAGGTTATGTGCTTGTTTTCTGTTTGGCGGTTACTTAGACGACATCACGAACGAACGAGTGAGCGAGATGAGAGATGAGCGCCTACGACTGGTGGAGTCAATTTCCGAGGCTGCGTCGATCGGCAAAATTGTGTTTGCCGATCGACGCTTACCCAAGACTTGCCCCGCAACAAAACATCGAATTGCGGACCACGTCACCGAGTGACTCGAGTCGAAAATTCATCGGTTGACCCGAGTGTACGAAAAGTTAATATAAATCCATGACGATGACGAGAAACCTACCTGGCGGCGGGTGAATTTTACGGAGGTCGAAAAGGATGGCGGCGACGCTGAATCTTGGCACTTGATTCAAATCCCTTATAGTTGAGTAATCAGTCGAAGGTCTGCGCTATATTCTATGCAGAAGGATTGAACTCCATGAATACAACTTTGACTCGAGAGGCCGCGACATACCTCATAGACCTTCGACAACTTCGAGGCAGAAAATAAAAACTGCGGAGAGAGATTATCCACTGAGACCGCGCGCAGCGTCATAATTTAGAGCAGGAGAACGTCACGATCTTGCGAGCTGAGAAAACAGCTGTGAGTTGGAATTCGATTCTCGAAGTGAAGTTTGAAGTTCGAGGGAGAGGAGAAGGACTCGGATGACGACGTGCGCGACAGCGTGGGTGGAGGGGTGGAGGAGAGAATTCAATGACCACGGCATCGGCAGAGCTGGCATGAACGGTGATGTTGGTTAGGAGATGAGTGGGCGTTGAAGGGCTTCTTCGTTAGCCAGCCAGGTAGATACTAGAGCAAGAAGAACTTTGAGATTTCTGCTGAAGAAATAATGGTTGTGATTGTCGATTTGTTGGTCGAGCGAGTGCGTGGGGTGGACGTGTGGAACCGCAAAGAGATGTGTTCTGTTCTGTTCTGTTCTGCTGAGGCGAAGGTGAAGGCTGCCGATAACCGAATATTAATTTCTACCCCACACTTGTCAGAATCGAGGCTCAGATTGATCGCCGTACCTTTAAGCCTTACCTCGAAGCAAGATTTCCCAGCCACGTTTTCGAGATTTCGCGAGGGATGTGAAATTTCGGCCCTTCCATGGAATCATGAGTTACTTGAACACAGGAGCAGTATGTAGATGCTGAGACGCTCACCTCACATTTTCGTTTGGTTCGCGAGGGAATATATAATGGTGCTCGAGTCACTCGGTTGGTGCGGTCGGTAGAACTGCATTCAGAATTAAAGAGCAGCTGTGGAAGAATTGAATGAATGAATTACTCGAATACGAATAAAGTTGTGGATGCCGACAAACTCACCTCGTTCTGGTTCGATTCTTCGGCGGGAACGGCGCCGAGGACGTCAACAAGACAGACAGGCACACCGGTAAGACCGAAGTAAGTAAGTAGGTGTCAACGTTAGTGTTAGCGTTAGCGTTACGCCCGTCGCCCGTCGCCCGCGCTAAGAAGGAAGAGGTAAGTACATCGGAACAGTGAACTTGGCGATGGCTGTGAATCAGATGGTCGTTGTGTACTAGAATCAGAATTGCTTTGCGACGTCGAGGTGAGGTTGGATGGGCGGTGGGGAGTCGAAGGGAGGAGCACATTGCTTTTGAGCGGCGTCGTAATCGGAGGAGATTGTTATGTTTATAGTCATTGCGACTCCGAGGCCTGCCAAGTCTGAAGTCACTTACATAAAGCGCGACGCGACGCGTAGATAATGTCGCGTCCGCGTAGATATGCCGAAGCGCCGTGTGAGTGATCGCGTTTGATGGGTTGATGGAGTATTTGTGGGGATAGATTAAATGAACGTCGGAAAGTTGGAAGCGGACGAGAAGGGAAGGGGGAGTCCATAGTCAAGGCTCTTTGGAGAGAAGAGAAGAGGGGGAAGGAAGATGGGGGAGGAAGAGAAGAGGAGGTTGTTGAGGCGGGAGTTTGCGGTTTACGTCGACGGCGCAAATCCAAAAGCAAATCCAAAAGGAAAAGCAAATTGAAATAAAAGAAAAAAGAAAGTGGAACGACGACGACTCGTCGAGTCCCAGGGGAGGGAGAATGTGATTGATTGGGTTTCTGTGAGAACTGCGTCTGTCATCGAATCCGAGAGAGTCTGGTCTGGGCGTCGGGAGATGCGGTGCGGGGAGCCGAAAACAGTTGGCGTACGTCCATCAGGTGTTCCGGCCTCGAGGCTCCTCGCTAAGATTGAGAAGTAGTTCGGCTAGTGAGCTGGGTACAGGGCGTTTTCTGTTTTCTGGG